ACAGGAGGGAAGGGTTCTTGCTGTTGATTGGGTATCATTCCCAGAAATATAGAAGGATCCCTATAAGACAAGAAATAGGGCAAGAAAAAGGGGCCCTTGTATGGGATAAGGGTATGTTCTTGCACCAACCTTTATCCCCCAATAAGCCAGCCAAGCCTTAGGTATACCACTATACACCACTGAGAAACACCACTGGTTCATGTCCTCCCATCTCCCATCTCTTCCCCATGAGTCTGAATAAAGAAGTCCAGACTCTCTGCCCTCTCAAAACTTCCTTTGACTGGGAAACAACTGTTAATGTTACTCATTCTTGCTAAGGCCTGTCAAATGCATGATGAGCTTACAGAGCCCTGAACCTAAAAGAGGTTGGCTCCAGCTGTCGGAAGTTCTGAAATAAATGTTTCTATGGCATGGGGTGAGAAAGGGAAAGAGAAGCTAGAGATCAACAGAACAATATTTTATAGTTGTAACATACAAAGCTCTTCATATATATGACCTCTTAGAAATAGTTCTTCAACAGACAATGAAAGAAAGTAAAATATCTACAGACCCTGGCAGGATGGGAGTCCAGATATCCTGCCAGACCCCTCAACCTAGGAGAAGCTCACTTCATCCCTCTCCTCTCTCCACCTCCCCATACTCTCCCCACCTCCCCATGCTCTCCCCACACCTCATGGTTGCTCTGGGTCTGGAATCCTGACTGCTAATGAAAGAGGGATGGTCTGAGCATCTTCCTAAGCAAAAGAAAATAAAACCACCTATTAAGTAGAGGAGAAGTAAAAAGATTCCATTCATTTTCCTCCTTAACAGCCAAAGAGAGTCCTGCACTGTCACATCTGAGACCATTTTTCTCACCTATGGTGAGTGAGGAGTTTGCCAACCATGCAAAACAAACACTAAATAAATTATATTTATTAAGTATCATTTTAATAAAAAGTTACCTCCTTTAATGTCACTGATTTATCCTTTACAATGGCATCTCTGGCCTATCAACCTGCATTCCTCCTCCCCCCACAACCATTCCTGACTCCCTGTTCTCTCCAGATGGGACTCTGACTCACTGTAGACACAGGCAAGTGGAAAACCTGGCCCAAGAAACCTAGCTACACCTAGGTGAGGCTGCAGTGCCCGATGGCAAGAGCCTTCCACCCACATTGCCCAGGAAGTGCTCTAAGTTCTGCTGAGCTCAAGAGAGCAGGGACACTTATTCTCTGTCCCTTCAAGCAAGAGAACAGACTGCTGCTCAAGTAGCTGAGAGGATTCCCTCCCACCTACACACCCACAATCACATTTACAAACTCTATCTTTTCTATGTAATTGCCTAAACACACAAAAAATATGGCCAGCTCAGTGTAAGAGGGTTTTCTAAGTCCCGAAGGGACTGATGGAAAGTAAAGACCCCATACAGCACACACCACAGTAAGCGTTCACAGAACCAGCAAGGACAAAAGGCAGGGAGCCGCCGGCTTGTAATACCTCTAAGGTTGTTGAGTCCCTCCAAGAACTTCTGGTACTTGTAAGCGTTCATGGCCATGGCCGGGCCCAGCTGTGTTGGTTCAGTGGCTGGAAGCAGGCACCATGGCGCAGTGACAGCTGAGAAGTGAGAGTGTGCAAACCGACTGATCTCTCCTACAGCGTCTCCTAGCCCCCAAGAACTGGACTTTGACCACATTTACAAGTGACGTCACCAGAGAAGCCTCATTACATTACAGCCCTTTGTGCGCGCTCATTTGTTACAGTGAGCGGAAATACCTCCCCAGGAGAGGCCAGCCCCTCCTTTGTGCAAATGAGACAAGAGACCACAGCAGCCCCGGCCGATCATCTGCCACCTCATCTGCCACCTTCTCTCTAGACCCCAGTCCAGGCTCCACTGGGATTACTGCTCCTCTGGTTTAAACTCCAGGGAGAGAGGTTTAAATGCTTTTCAGGACACCAGTTAAGGGCTCATCTAACATTTGAGAATGAAACCTTTAAAGGGCCGCACTCACCGAAAGAATGCCACAACAGGAGCTCTTGGGCAAATATCACATGGCAATGGGACAGGTTTTACAAAATAAACAACTCTGCACTCTCCTTACAGCAGTCATGTTTACAGCCTGGAATACAGCCACACACAGACAAGACACTGAACGTCACACAGTCCAAGGCAAGGAGAGGAGAGAAACAGAAACTGGTAAGCCCACTCCGGAAGTGCTAAAAGCACAGGTCAGGGGGGCAGGACCTTCTCCATAGATAACCAGGGAGAAAATGCAGCCAGCACAACACCCACTTGCTCCCCACTCCAGGGCACTATTCGCTCAGCTGATTTGCATTAATGATTTCAGTAGCTGCTGTAAGTTTCATTCTACTCCACTGTGCCACACCTTTCCTTTAAAAACTGACAAAGTATGTTTGCTTTTATCATTTTTGAGGGCAAGAATATACTAGAGTTAGCTTAACCATAGTCTAAATCTAAATGTTTAACTCAAAGAATGCAGTTTATATGGAAAATAAAATTTACTCTAGTTTATGTATATAATTTTGTTATTGAAACTACCAGTGTATAAGTACAAGTTACTGAAAAAAACACAGAAATGATAGATGGCAAATATTAAGAAAAATTATAGATTTATATTTAATTTATAAGCAATTATTTCATATTTTTAGCTTACTTTGTTATACCTAAACCTAAGTTCTCTTATGTCTCTAGCACCAGAATGTAAAATATGCATATACTTATTATATAATAATATAACATTTGTCGTTAAAGTTATAGTTTAATATTAAAAATCTATTTGGGGAATTAAAACATTTTTTCATTCTATTCCATTACCCACAAAGAGATGGGACCCAATCCCCGCCCCCCAACAGGCTCTTAGGATAAGCTAAGATTATAGCCAGAGGAAATTTCTATAGCATTTCTGTTGTAAGGAATTCAAAGTGGCTCACCTGATTATACTCATCTTTAAGAATATTTTTATAAAAATAACTGTAAATTTTCATTTACAGATAAGAAAATAGAGGTTAAGCAACCTGTCCAAAAGTCACACATCAAGTCAATGAGAAAACATGGAAAGAACCTGTTTCCCAAACTTGAGCTTGGTATTCTGGCTCATCTTACCTTGACATCCTAGAAAACCATGAGCAACCAACCCAGTCAGACTCCACTGATTAACCAATCCCTCATAAGAGAGATAACCTCTCTCCAGGTCTGAAGTTTTTCAGAGCAACCTGCCATCCAGGCTGCTGTTCAGTGACTTGGGGTAGAACTCAGGGTGCAAAGTAAAACATTCCACAACACTCCCAATTACGCAGGGTAGATGCAGATGGACAAATGTATAACTAGCATTGTGAAAACAAAGGAAAAAGGGGGTATGCCCGCTTGAAAAGATCAGAGTAAATAATACCAACAGCTGCTATGATAATGGAAAGGGGGAAAGTACCGAAAAGGTGGCCGGCCACTGTGTGAAGATCTGAGTGTCAGAAGTTACATCAATACAGTACATAATTCCTTTTCTCAAAGAATAACTTAAAGGGTAAAATTAAAACGTCAAAAGGGAGTTTAATGCTTACAGAGCACAAATTAGACAGTGTAATACAGTTTAGAAAATATATATAAATTCTACAATATATTACTGTGAGAAACACAGTATTTCTGAGGTCGCCTAGTCCAAGAGACCAGGTACCTTGGAGCCATCTGGGAAAGAAGACTGTGGGTGAGAAAGACAAACATTAAATAACAGTTCAGATCATGTGTGCCTGTTTCTGATGTTATTCCACTATTTCTCCAGAAGAGTATGGGTAATAGAGTACGGTGGAAAAAACTTTGGTTGCAAGGTCAAGACACCAAGAGTCCAGAATCTATCTCAAGATCCAACTTTGCCACTAACTAGCTATGTGAGCAGGAGCCTGAAATTCCTATAAAAAATGCTAGTTCTTACCCCCCCCCCTTTTTTTAGGTCACTAACTCCAGTGAGAATTAAGTATGCTCTCCCAGAAAAGGGGACATATTCATCTACCTACAAACTTTTGTTTACAAGTGGAGAAAGGTCAATGAACTACAGGCAAAGAACCTCTGAACTGATCTCTAAGACTTCTTTGGTGTCCTGATCTGAAAGTAATTAATGTAGTGCAATCTATACCAATAAAAGGGTAATATGCTAATTAGACCAGGAGACCTTCCGGGCATCCTTCCGGACAAAGCCATGGTGGCAGGGCTGAGGCAAAGGTGGTTAGGGGCGATCAGGCCAGGAGGGGAGGGCAGTTGGGGGTGGTCAGGCTGGCAGGGGGTCAGTTGGGGGCAAGCAGGCCGGCAGGGGAAGCCAGTTTGGGGCAAGCAGGCCAGAGCAGGAGGGAGGTGGGGGGCAGTAGGGGGTGAGCAGGCCGGCGGGGGGGGGGGGGGGGGGCAGTTGGGGGCGAGCAGGTTGGTGGTGGCGGGGGGGGGCAGTTAGGGGCAATCAGGCTGGCAGGGGGTGGGGGCAGTTGGGGACGAGCAGGCCACCAGGCAGAGTGGTTAGGGGCGATCAGGCAGGCAGGCAGGTGAGCAGTTAGGAGCCAGCAGTCCTGGATTGCAAGGGGGATCCCAGATTGGAGAGGGTGCAGGCCAGGCTGAGGGATAACCCCCTGCCCCGTGCATGAATTTCATACACCAGGCCACTAGAGCAAATCTATATATATAAAAGCCTAAGCAACTGAACGACCAAAAGACCAGTTGACCGGTCGCTCTGATGCATACTGACCACCAGGGGACAGATGCTCAATGCACAGGATCGGGATCCATTCTGTCTGGATTGGGCCTGCGGGGATTGGGTTCCCTCCTGAATGGATCAGGCCTGCGGGGATCGGGCTCCCTCCTGTCTGGATTGGGCCTGCAGGGCTTGGGCCAAAACCAGCTATCCCACATCCCCCAAGAAGTCCCGGGTTGCAAGAGGGTACAGGCCAGGCCAAGGGACGTCACCAGTGCACATATCCGTGCACCGGGCCTCTAGTATAAGTAAAGAAAAGAACAAGGTTTAAAGGAATTATCCATTAGCCAGGAAAGATCTGGATTTAATGCCACTGTAAAATTCTATCAGAAACTCCTCCCAACCCAGGAAGAAAAAAAACAGCCCAGACAACAGGAATCTAATGGCAGGAACAACTGACATTTAAAATAGCCACTTGAACTAAGTGCATTTAAAAGACAACATATGTTAGCTTGTCATTTCCTCTGTGTGTTTCACCATATCAGATAAAAATATAACAAAAACAAGGATGTTTGGAATTATGAAGTGAGTGATGGTTCCGATGGGAGGTTCTCGGGAAGGGGGAGGGGTGCAGCGGCCTGGACTCCAGTTGTATTCTCGCAGACAATGCACCTTTTCCTGGGAATCAGAGCATTCCAAAGCACGGTAGTATACTACGTCCATACGCTTTTCCGGACCGTTCATCTTTTATCCTCCAATAGGTTCCAGTGAATGTACCCTCAGGTGGTAAGAGACATCCTGCCCTAAATTCCAGAGAGAGACAGACAAATGTGAAAGGCTTGAGATCTGGCAGTCCAATAGGCACTCTCTGGCCAGCTGCTGACAAAGCAGGGGAGGCCATGCTGTCTCCAACAGCTTTTACCAAGGCACAGACACCTAAGAGCTGAGTGAAACTTGACTGAATGCAGACAGATCAGGAAGTCCAGACTACAGTGTATGAGGTGTGGTCCTTAGGGCTTCTGACTCTATAATGACAAAGACAATTAAAAAGCTGCCCTGCCTTGCCCTGCCCTGGCGTGGGCTCAGGAATGCCAGAGCCCAGGGGAAGAAAAGGCCTGAGTCAGGTTCAGTATATTACTCCTAAAACAGGTGGGCAAGTCTGCCAGCAAAGACTTAGTAACTAAGGAGAAAGTTCTAAACCCATGAGGAGATAATAAAAACTATCTTGGAGTTCCCCCAAACCATCTAGAAATCAAACCTTCCATAATTCCTTTTAAGCAATCTTTCTCCTAAAAATAAAGGTCGTCCTCCCACAAGCCCCTCATATCAGGGGTCAGTGAAACTAAATCTGAATAGTCACTTTAAGAAATTTGCCCAATCACTCATTCATACATTTGTTGCATACTAACCATGCAAGCACCCAGCACTAACCTAAGTGCTAGGAACATAGAACTCAGTCTAATGAGAGAGAACAGGGTGAAAAAGCAATGAATTTGTCTCCTCGGATTCAGAGGAGATAAGGGTCATGAGTGGTCAAACTGAGGGCACAGCTGACACCCAACTGCTCATTCTCTAGACCAGCCCTGAAGACAAGAGGCTTAGAGACATGAAAGGTAACCCCGCTCATATAAATACATCCATTTTCTCTGAGGGAGAACTGACACCCTACAGCCAGTTGCCACTATTACCCCAAAGCAGCTGCTGACCCAGGAAGACAGCAAAAATGTCTCCAGTGACTTAAGAAGCCAGCAACAAAAGCAGGTGCCAGGTTCATGGCCCTATTCAGGGAACAACAAAGATCACTTTCTTCATTGTTTCCCCCTGGCAGCAGTGTCTGAAGCAGGGAGGGGTTGAATTACACCTTGTCCCTCTGGTCTGCTAGACAGAAAATGAGTTCGCCATCTGAAGAAAGGGTTGTGCCCAGGGCCAAAGCTCTCTCTGCAGGGCTGAAGAACAGAAGACAAAAGAAGTCAGACCTCACATGCTTAGAAGGAGAGGGCTGAAATGGCAAGACCAAAGGAGGCTTTAACTGAAACGAAGTGCAGGTTTGACCACAAGTGTCCGAGGAGTTTTGCCCACTCTGCGCTCACCCTAAGGCAGGGGTCCTCAAACTACGGCCCGCGGGCCACATGCGGCCCACCGAGAACATTTATCTGGCCCGCCGGGTGTTTTTGCCGCCGCTGCCTGTCCTGCTTAGCAGCCGACTTGTCCGGGCCCGCAGTGCGCATGTGTGGAATGTCGGCAGGACAGTGAACTGGCCCCCTGTTTAAAAAGTTTGAGGACGTCTGCCTAAGGCCTAGAGAGGTTCTTTTTGTGGATCAGACCAATATATACACCACAGGGCTCGTACTTAGGCTACAGACCCTCAAATAAGTCCTCTCTCCTTGATCCTTTTCTTTTGGCTCTGTAGTCCCTGGAGAAATGGGCGAGTCCTATGAATCCTCTCCTCCCGCGGTGACCAAACAAGGTAAAACTAAGCAGTTGGGAGGGAAGGCAAAAATGCCTGTTCTTCGGGTGAACCTGTACCTGCATGACCTCAGATCATAGCCTGACTTGAAACTAAGGTTCTCCTCTGTTTATAAATGCCTCATTCCTGGGCGTTCTGAGCACCTAAATAAAAGATCACAGGCAAGAGGCACCTACCACTGGACGGAGGTTACAGACCTTTAGAAGAGAGGTAGGAGGGGAGGAAATTCATCTCAACAAAAGCACACTGAAACAGATACAGGAATCCAGGTGTAATAGAGATCAACAGCTTCCCCCACTCCCTCAAGGACAGTTTTTCTCACGAACTCCATCAGGACCCAGCCAGAGGACATGGCTGCAAATCCAAGTCAGTTAAAGGAAGGCCCCTGCTAAGCAGTCACATTCAGTTATTTTGACAAACCCGGGAACGGGGGGAGGAGTGCTTGCTGGCTCAGTTCACCTGAGTTATACTCCACCAACAAACAAAACAAGCCTCCAAAAAGGACACCAACTTCCAGTAGCATTCCTTTGTTGCTTTGAGCAGAGGAAGAAGGCAAAATAAATATTTTTGAGAAGTCAGATTCTAGACACTATAAATAGCATAATGGAATTTTCTTCTGAAGCTGTCTTTTGCTAATAATGAGGTGACTTTTTTTTTTTAAGTTCAAGATAGACTGTATAGTAATGACTCCAGGATGGCAGAGTATGGGTTCTAAGAAACTTATTACTCTTGCATCTAAAAGAACATTCTGCAGAAAGACATCACATTGTTAAGGTAGAACCTCAATGAAAGTGTCAACATCTGTTTAATGAGTAGCAGTGTACCTGCTATAGTATTATCATACTTATCTATATACTTTAAATATTCATAATAAAAAACTTAAAGCAATGGATGAAATCATCCATGAAATCTAGAAATATGGCCGGAACCGGTTTGGCTCAGTGGATAGAGCGTCGGCCTGTGGACTGAAAGGTCCCAGGTTCGATTCCGGTCAAGGGCATGTACCTGGGTTGCGGGCACATCCCCAGTGGGAGATGTGCAAGAGGCAGCTGATCGATGTTTCTAACTCTCTATCTCTCTCCCTTCCTCTCTGTAAAAAAATCAATAAAATATATTTTTAAAAAAAACACAAAAAAACCTAGAAATATGCAAAACCTTTGATTCTGCAAGTCTACACCTAAGAATTTTTCCTAAAGATATACATATGCGCCCTAACCGGTTTGGCTCAGTGGATAGGGCATCAGCCTGCCGACTCAAGGGTCCCAGGTTCGATTCCGGTCAAGGGCATGTACCTGGGTTGCGGGCACATCCCCAGTAGGGAGTGTGCAGGAGGCAGTTGATCGGTGTTTCTCTCTCATCGATGTTTCTAACTCTCTATCCCTCTCCCTTCCTCTCTGTAAAAAATCAATAAAATATATTTTTTAAAAAAGATATACATATGCAGGGGGGGTGGGAGTGGCGGGGGAGGGGTCAATGGGAGAAAAAGGAGACATATGTAATACTTTAAACAATAAAAAAGATAACCGATATACGTATTTCTTAATTTCTGAATTATTTGCTCATTTTCCAAAATTTGCATTGAGATGTTTGTTTCTTAATTATTAATAAGATTTTTTAAATGTTTTGATATTAACTCATACCTTAAATGCTACAATGATCTACTGTCAGTTGTGGTGTTTTTTTCATTTCTAAGTATTAGGGTTTTTTTGTTTTGTTTTTATTTTTTTTATTATCTAAAATTTTACATATGTCTCCTTTTTCCCCAATTAAAACCACCACTCCCCTGCCCCCGAGCCATTCCCACCAGGGCAAGCCCCCACCGCCCCAGTGTCTGTGTCCATTGGTTATGCTAACATGCATGCATACAAGTCCTTTGGTTGCTCTCTAACCCCCTCCTCCCCTTACTGTCAGTTGTTTGTCTTTTACTGTGTTTGACCTGATTTTTATTGTTTGACCTGATTTTTATGTAATAAAATATAAAAATTTTGAGGGGTTAGAAATTGTTATGTAATACATTTTTTAATGAGTTTCTTATGTGATCAATAATCTGTTTTCTAAATTACTTGAAACTTACTAACATTAAATGAATTAATAAAAAATTTACAGATCAAGTTAATAAAGTAAACACTTTTTTAAAAAGATATACATATGCAAAGTGACAAGTATACAACGAAGTTTTTCATTATAGCACTCTGTAATAGCAAAAGATGGGCAACACCCTAACTGTTCATCAGTAGAGAACTGGCTAAGTAAATGATAGCATATTCATATGACAGAATAATAAGCATGGAGGGAAAAAAGAGGTCTTTATGGGCAGATATGGTCTTTATGAGTTGATATGGATGAATCTCCAAGATTAAAAAAAAAAAGGTCAAAACAGAGTATATGTTAGCTCTCAATTATATTTTTTAAAGAAGAAGAATGAATAATAGAATTTAGGTTCCATAAAGACATGGATTTTTACCTATTTATATATTCACTGTTTATCCCCAGAGCCTTGCATAGTACCTGGCACATACCAGTACTCAATAAATATTTGCCAAATTAATTTTTTAATTCATAAGATATGTGAATTAATAAGTGCACATATCATCTATGGAAAGAAGCGTAAGAAACCGATAATACTGATTGTCTTCAGGGAGGAGAAAAGGATGGCTGGGGTGAAAACAGATTTTTCACTGTAGATACAGTTTGTACCTTTTGAATATTCAATTATGTGGATGTGTTACTTAGTCAGAAAATAAATGAAAGTTAAAAATTTGAGGTTCTGTATCCTGATCCCAGCACTGCCACTGGCCACATACCCTTCTCACACAATTATTCATACATTCTACAAGCCTACACCCTGTACCCCTGCCCTGTGCAAATTCTGTAGAACACTGACATGAACTCAGTCATTTTCCTCAAACAGCCTACAATCTAGTGAAGGAGATAAACAAGTGACCCAACACACGATATAGTGAGGCTGATATTGATAAAAGTGCACAGGAAAAAATGGGGTGGGGGGCATGGACATCCAGGAAAGGCTTCTGGAAGGAGATGATGTTAGAACTGGGACTACAGTGAATTAGATTAATGGGGACAGGAGTGTTGTAGACAGTGGAAACAACGAAGAAACACGAAAGATAATGCACTGAAGGAACATACAATACTTTGATATGGATGGAGTACAGGTACTCTCAATCCTGGAAGGATGGCGGCAGGACATGAAAGCTTTGCATGTGATGCTACAGAAATCACAGTTCAACCTAAAGATAACGGAAAGCCACTGAAAAGTTTAGCTTAGGAATGACTACTCTTTTATGATCAAATTTTAATTTTAGAAAGACTACCTAG